CGAGCCTTCAAGCATCGATATAGGAAATTTCTAATGAAATCCCTGATATCGCGGATCAACACATGCAGCAGTGTGACTGAACTTTCCAAGAACATTAATGTGTTAGACGTTGTGCACTGTAGCGCATGTAAGGTGGAAGAATTTGTGAATTGTGACAGTGACATTCCGACAGAGGACCCAGAAAGTAAGCACTCGGAAGAAGAAATTTTGAAGAAACTTTATGGTGGTAACGAGGAAGAGTGTGATGAAGATTGTGACAATGACAATGAAGGAAGTGATTCACTCACTAAGAACCGCACATATCCAAAGGTCCTAGAGATGCTGAGGGAAATAAAACATTTTGCCATGGTGCAAAACTCACCTGAACTGTTGAACCCTGTGGCTACACTCGAAGCCAGTACAGAAACCCTGATTCTAAAACAATCACTTAAAAGTCAGTCACAGTCTTTGATGACTGATTTCTTCACAAACTGAAGCTGTATGTAATAAACAAATGTACATGTACTTTGTCAGTGTTTCGTCTTTATTATACGCATTCATGTAACATGTGTTTCATGCACGATCGTATGTTCGTCAAAGGGAGATAACTCCATTAAAATCTGTGTACTACGGACTACTGTATAATTCGGACTTTTAAGTCGATCCCAAGCTGGTCCGAATTAGACAGAGTGCACTGTAGTAATTGTAGCAGCATGCCTTTTTTAAAGCGCTTCAGAGTTGCCTCCTTTGGCTGGCTTAATGATGGAGCCTAGCTTTGCTAGAATGCTCGAGAACTGTGTAAGAGCTATATAAAGGCTGGTTGCTGTGTTGTGCTACATGGGACATGACTGGATTAATGCACATCTGTCTGCCATCGTCGAGTTTCTCAACATTTCAAGCTTGCCTGCTGTCATTGTAAACAACCCTCAATCAGTATATCTGCTCTCACTGTAAATCTCAGGACCTTTGGTGAGTTACTATGTTGTATTTGTGACCCGATCTTTTAAATTTGTGACTCAATTGCATTGTACTAGATATCTGTATTGTCATTCATTGTAGCTTGCTCGTTGTTTGTTCAATATATAAATGAATATTTGAGACTTGTCTGTGTTCTATTTTGCTGGTTAAAAGGGGACTCTTAAACCTTTTGTCACCGCAATTTATTAACCGTAACAGGTGGTATAGACGAGCCCATCCCAATCTCTCAATTTTCAAAAAAACAAAATAATTTGGCTATCAATGTCTTCGGGTACGAAGGTAATAAAACTATCGTGCATATAATATCTGATGCCTCTGAACACATTCCCAGAATCAATACATTACTGGTCGAAAAAGACTTTTAAGAGATCAAGCAAAACATACTGGAGAAAATACACACTTATGTGAACAATGTTGGCAAACACCATTACAGTAGACTAGATATTTTAGAACACACAAAGAAGACTGTCGAGGGTTTAAACAGGCCACGATCACAATCGACATGCCAGAAGAAAATAAGAACATTCTCAAAATTATCAATCATAATAAACAAATGCCAGTGCCCTATGTGATCTATGCTGACTTTGAAGCCCTCATCAAAAATATTGACCACGACACACGCAACACGATCGAACAAAGTTTCACTTATAAAATGCAGAAACACGAAGCTTGCGGTTTGGGTTACATGGTCGTCAGATATGCTGGGAAAACCGAAGGCTCTCGTGATCTACCGAGGTCATGATGTGGCTGAAAAGTTTCTCACCCGTTTACAACATGAAGAGAAAATAATCAGGGAAACTTTATCGAACATTATGCCTATGCGTATGATGAAGGATGACTGGACAGCTCATCAGAAAGCCACTCATTACTACATGTGCAACCAACCCCTGAACAGTGATTCAGTGAGAGATCATAGTCATGTCTCAGGTCAGTACAGAGGAGCCACTCACAATGTGTGTAACTTAAAGCTTAGAATAAAACCCCAAACCATCCCCATCCCCGTGGTGTTTCATAGTATTCGTGGTTATGATTCTCACCTCATCATGCAGGCTATCTTGAAATTCGATGGCAACGTCCCCTGTATCACCAACAATATGGAAAAATACATCTCTATCTCCTTAGATGGTCTGAGATTCATTGATAGCGTCCATTTTCTCCTGTCGTCCCTCGATTGTTTGGTGAAGGCCAACAACCCTGCTGACTTCGTTATCACAAATGAATATACTTATTCAACGACTTGATCACTATTGTTAATGAAGGGAGTCTACCCGTACGAGTAAATGGACGATTGGTGTAGATATAAGGAGAAACAATAACCTCCTGTCGAATCATTCATTTAACCGAATGAAAAATAACCGATGATGAATACCAGCACGCCCTCGAGGTTTGGGACAAACTGGGATGTAAACATTAAGGTGACTACAACGATCTGTACTTGAAAACGGACATACTGCTGCTCGCCAATGTCTTTGAGATCTTCAGAAAAACGTGCTCGAAACAGTACGGTCTAGACCCAGCTTGGTATTACTCCAGCCTGGATCACTCTTGGGATGCCTTGTTAAAAAAGACCGGTGTTGAGTTGAAACTCTTGACCTGTAAATCCACCAACCACATTCTTTATCTTGTTGCTAATAATATATACAGCTTGGCCATGAGTACGCCTTTTCCCACCGGAGAATTTGAATGGGTGTCCCCCGATAGTAGTACGTCGGACTCGAACAAAGGCTACACACTCGAAGTGGACCTGGAATACTCCAGAGAATTACACGAGAATTACACACAACAGTTATCCGCTCGCTCCCGAATGATTAATGGTTAACAATGACTGGATGTCCGACAATCAGTGAAACTTGTTGGGAAAAAATAAACTCCCTAACATGGAAAAACTCGTACCCAACTTGATGGATAAAATCAAATATATCTTTTACTATCATAACCTGCAGCTGTACTTATTGTTGGTCATGAAGTTAAAGAAAATACATAGGGTAGTCGAGTTTGATCAAAGTCCTTGGATGGAACCTTACATTGGACTGAACACGGATTCATGAAAACAAGCCACTAGCAACTTTGAGAAAACTTTATACAAACTAATAAATAATTCCGTCCTTGGCAAAACCATGGACAATTTGAGAAAAACAGTCAATGTCAAATAAGTTCGATCCCTGGGAGACAAAAAAATGAAACAAACTGACAGCGAATCCGGCCTTTAATCAAAGCAAGCTATTCGATAATGACTTGGCGGCATTACACATGAACAAAGGTCACCTCAAGTTCAACCGGCCGGTTTATGTTGGGATGACTATCTTGGATCTGTCTAAGTACTTAATGTACGACTTTTATTATAATAAACTTAAGGCACAATATGGCAATCGGTATGAAATTTGTACCGAGGTTGTATACATGGCGAAACACATCCATCTGTAAGACATCAGTGATTACTCTCCCAATCACCCAATACCTAGCATGGCAAATAAAAAGGTACTCAGGAAAATGAAAGATGAGTGTGCCGGGACCCTGATGGCCGAGTTCATCGGTTTAAGACCTAAAATGTATTTGATTACAAAATGCCAATCACAGTAAAATATAAAATAGCCAAAGGAGTAAAAAACATCTGTGGTTAAACAAGAAATCGAACAAGATTCAAACATCAGATGAATGCGCTCAGAAGCAACAAACATAAGATCTATGGCATAACCCTCAACAACAAAACGTCCTTGTCGCCCATGGATACCAAATGATGGATTGCCGGCGAAGGCGTCACGACTTATGCTTATGGACACTGTTTTATTTCATAACAAATATCCTAAATACACACCCAAAAAAATAAAATTAATTACTACAGACCTCATGGATATCAAACGATATTTTATTAAAGGATAAATATGAATAAAACAATATAATGGATAAGATTTACTACAGCCCACGGCTACTGGAAAGGTGCAAATGCTATCCCCAAGCTTGCCGAAGCCGTGAAAGTCTCCAAAAAGACCGCTAAGGTTAGGTTAGAGAGAAACAAGCCCTATGGCAATTTTACTTGCCGGCTCCTCGATATATCCTGGAAGAAAATTCGATGTATCCACGCCCAATCGAGTCAATCAAGCCGACCTTTTGTTTTACCACACAATAGGGTAAAACGCAAATCTTACAAGTATGCCCTGACCGTGGTGGATGTCGCCAGTTGCTACAAAGAGGCCGAACCACTCACTGCAAAAGATTTGACTCAAGTGGCTAAGGCACTCGAACGTATTTACAAACAGAGCCCGTTGACATGGCCAGCTGAATTGCAAGTCGACCCGGGACGCGAGCTTATGGGCTCAGTATCTCAACTGCTGTCCAAACACAAAGTCTATGTCATGTGTGTTACGATGAGAGCGCATCACAGCCACGCCATTAACCGAACCTTAGGCAAACGCTTGTTCAGACACCAGTACAGCCAAGAAATGGTGAGAATGTATCACATCGATCGAGTGGATATCAAAGAAGGCGAACCCCATTTGTATTACCTGAAAGATGGAGAGGATTTGTGCGAGAGGAATTGCTCGTCGTCCCCCCACGATACGGTATTACCTCCTTATTAAAGATTTGAACCCTTTACACAGGTATATTATCATCAGATGGAGATTGATCGCAATCACATTGGAGTGGACTCGATGGGCTCACTATTAATTCAGCCCTACGCAGAGTGATTCGTCGAGGTCAATTCACGACCCTGTACAATAGTTTAGGTTTGGTGGGCACCGAATGGTTACAACTTCTCATGGATGCTTTAGTCAATTATAGCCTCGAGATCAGAGATCGTCCTGCCCCGTATTCAACCTACTTCTTAGCCGACTTTGATGCTTTTTTTACAGATCCCATCCATAACATCATCGCTAACTATTACAATTTTATTTTTTTATTTTAAAGCATTTTTTTTTGTGTTTTGTGTTTTGTGTGTATTTGTGTGTGTTAACCAACGATGCTCCACGGCCAACCTTTTTTAACCATTCAATCAATTCCTTGCAGCATCTAATGTTACAACCTCTATAAATTAGTGAACTCACACGCTTTTGAATCACGTAGATAGAGCCTAATGTGTTGTATCTTTTCTTGAACTGAACTGTTCAGGCTCACAGTCCAGTTGGGATTTGACTCAAAACGTGTATGAGTACAGGTTGATTGCGTGAAAATCCTTGGGCTGGTCCCATCTACACCAATATCTGCACCATGTCCCAAAGAATTAAATGTACTGGTCTGGTGACAAGGTCTCCGTAAAGCAATGTTTTCTGAAAATGTGAACAGAAACGAACAGATTAACAGAAGGAAACAAACGTTTGTGGTTTGGTTCGGTTGCTGTTTAATGCTGCACAATTAAACGGCGAGTGTAGGTCCGCAAAGTGTGAGGCTAGTAAGTTAATTGACTACAACAGGATGATTTGTGCTTTAATTAATAGGTATAAGAGAGTGAGTGAGTTAATATTTAACGTCACATCGGCAATATTTCAGCCATATCGGGACGAAAGCAATTTATACAATAAAAAGGGAGAACATTTTGAAGATTAAAACCTGCCGACAATGGACAGTAAAAATCACAGATATTAATATAAAACTAGCGAGCAAATCTTAAACAGTCCAATTAAAGAAGACAATACAGTTTAAAACACGGGCTATAGATCACCAACAACAGGTAGATCACCATACTAGGAACCATGGGGACTTACATTACTTTTGCTACCTGCATGGTCCCTAGCTGGATTTACACCATCCCTTCAGCCGCTGATGATTGTAGGAAAATTTAGCCGGCAATTAAAATGTGGTAAATTTACAATAATTTTACAGTACTTTAACCCCGTAGGGTATAAAGGTATAAAGACTCATACATAAGATATAAGAAGAATACAAGAGGATGGTTGGTTTTAGTTGTTTTACCCTCAGCAATAGTCCAGCTTTATGGCGGCGGGCTGTAAATAATCGAGTCTGGACCAGACAATCCAGTGATCAACATCATGCGCATCGATTTACCGAATTGGGATACGATGACATATGTCAACCAAGTCAGCGAGCCTGACGACTCGATCACGTTAGTCGCGACATGTACAGGTTGCTGAAGACCAATTCTAATCCAGGTCTTGACTGGTCCGAATATTTGAGACATGTGGTCATGATATTCATTGCCTCACACTCACGTTTCTGACAGTAAGAGTCGAACCATCCTTCCTGACATCTGTCTGGATCACCGACCTGGCTACAGGGAGTAGAGGGGAACACGGCACAGGCAGTAAAGGTGTTACAGTGACACTCAGCATCTGTTTAAAAAATGCCTCCATCTGAGTACCACAACTGATCGTTACGTCTTTATTCTTGAATTTATGTTCAGTTATAAATTATTTTCAATTATATATTATAGGAATAATAGGATTCCAGGAGTTTTTAATCGCACCACTAAACTATGAAGCAGATATTGACATGTTTTTGGCGTGCAGTGAATAATGTTCCTACCAGTGCGGGTCACAATGACACAGACCAAAAGCAGTCCCATCCAAGACCGTCCCTTGTTGTGCACCTAACTGAAAAGACAAATTACGAGTAGCATAATCCTAAATACCCATGAATAGATGATGGTTCGCACTTGAGTGTCCTTTAAGAATTTACCACCTCGAGTTCATTAAAGTATGTAAACAGTTCAGTTAGTTTTGAGTATGATTGCAAGGGATTCCCAAACACAAACACGCGCGCGCGCATGAACACACGCACGCACGCACGCGCGGGCATAAAATGTACAGTCAGTTACATCCACTTTATCATCAGAGTGGATGATAAATATCTTGCATTTTTAGTAATAACATTGCATTTTCTAATACAGCATTTCAATAATCGCCAAACTCAGGCGTGATCAGGCTGTACAAGACGCCGTTCCCGTTGAGCCAATCGAACCCCTCTGTGTCTCCTAGGTCGCTAAGCGTGACGTTGGGACGATGACTGGTCATTGCTATATTCCTATTACAAGATAGTTTCAAACAGTCTTTCTGATAGTAGTTCAGGGGTGCACCTCACCCCCATGATGTGTATGTTGTCGTGTAGGAATATCTTGGTTGGTGATATCGTGTCTTCCACGGTTGCTTAGCGAGCACACACTGTAGAAGCCGTCGGTTATGTGGTTGTGGACACAACTGACGAACAGCTTGTTGTTGCTGTTGTTGATGTTGGTCCACCGCGACAGGTAGCTGATATCACATTGTCCGGCTTCGAGGTGACCCGACGTGTTATCGATCGCGTGCATCAGTTGAACGGACTCACCGCTCCTTATTCCTGGAAATGTCACGTACATATTAGAGTATATATACCACTATATAATATATAAAATGTACCCCCCGGGAGTGTTTTACCTTAAGATGGACATAGACTTCACGAACATGAAGATCGTGGTCGACGGGGCTGAGTTGTACTTCAGAGCCCAGTTCATCGATGTGTTCAACCAGTATAGGCTTTTGGTGAATGTCAAGGCAGTCCACGCTTGGTTCAACAACCCTTTGCAGTTCTGGCAGAACCAACTCAACGACATGTGGTGTGCTACAACGGGGTGAGGCTTGACACTGAGCGACACTCGGCAGGGCCCGCTGAGTAGGTCTGTGTTCACGTTCGACGTGTACTACCAGGTCAGGCGTATCCTCAAAGAGATCAGCGCTCTGCTCCCACAGGACAAGGCATGGGACGTGGTGAACAACCTGTACGACCTCATCTGGTAAAAAACTCCTTAGCAGCTACGTACACCAGCCCGGCCACGGCAACGATGGCTGCCCACAGGTTTTACCCGCGCAACGTGACAATTTTAGCCAGCATACTCAGCAGCCACGAGACGATGCTACCCAGGATGCCTGGCAGGGCTTCGGCTGCCTTACCCGGTAGTTTAGCCAGGGCCTCCCCGAAGGATTTCAGGTGTCTTCTCACCCAGTCTCTGGCGTTGCCACCAGGTGGGGCTGTTGGTGTATCTCCACCCGTCAGCGACACGTCAAGGGATGATATGATGAAGCCCAATGCCGTCAGAACGCTGGCGATGGTGATCCCTTGCTCTCGGAAGAGGATTCAGATCCTGTCAGCTAGCGTGGTGTCCTGGTAGAGGACTCAATCGATGGTTTCCCCGCATGAGGCTGATCTGGGATCGAAGCTGTTCTCGGAAGGAGGACGACGCTTCCAGCCGGGTCGACCTTTCCTCTTCCAGGTTGCATATTCGTTCCGTGATCTGGTGTTGGCTGAACTCGTCGTCCGCTTCGCCGAGTTTGGTTCCTTCACGGTTGATGTGTTCATCGATGGTGTCCAGTTTGGCCGTGTTGTCGCCGAGTGACCCACGAATGGTTTGCATGGCCTTGTCCAGCCCTCGCAGTTCCACAACGGTAAATTCGATCCCGGGTAAGGGTTTGTTATGGTACGTGTCCAACAGTTGTTCGATGGCACGTTGGGGCTCATTGTTCAGCCCTGGTTCGAGTTCGGCCCTGGCAGCTTGCAGATCTTGGATGACCTTCAGGGGAAGTTGTTTGGGACATGCGCCCCCGTAATCTATGAGGTTTAGTTCACCGCGGATCAGTTGCTCACCATGGTGACTGATGAGTGTCAATGAGATTGATCGCTGGGTTAGCCTTCAATCGCAGTGTGACGTTCTTGTCCAGGGCAAACCTGGAATAATCTCATCTAAACGGCTCGACGTGGTGCCTACGCCTCAACGCGTCGTAGTATTCGTCGACCGTCTGCTTCAGGGGTTGGTTGCTTTGCGAGAACGAGGTTTCCTGCTCCCGGATCGAGTGTGCACTATCATCCCACAAGTCATCCATCTGGATGTCATCGTAACCACCTTAGACCATTACTTTATTATATTAAACTTATATATTTTGTATATATAACAATGTCATACGGTAGGAAGCTGTTGGTTCGATTCCCCAACCTGGGTGAGAATGACCTCATCGTGCCCTGCATGGTTCGACTGGCGTTCAACCTCACGTTGGCCTCCGACAACGACACGCGAGCTGGTGTGGAACGTGGGGCGTGCTATTGTCAAGAAGACCGCCATCAAGATCAGCGGCAACGACGTGCTGAGCATCAACGAGAGCAACATGTTTCACTGCTACGGGGACCTCTGGTATAGCGAGGGCGAACGCGTCAACGACGTGTACCAAGGCATCAGTAAGTCGATTAGGTTGCGCGTCGGGTACGGCTTCACGGCAGACCAGCTCGACAAGATCCCGGCAGGTGAAAAGGCCATCACTGAAGCGTACGGGGACAGGTTCTACGTGCCGCTTGACTTCGAGTTGCTCACTGGGCATGCGCTGTTTTACCAGGCCGTGCTGGGTTCACGTTCAACGACTACAGCAAAGTTGTGCATACGCCCCAAACGGTCACTAGCCTGGAGATGGCCAGGCAGGTTCGAAACCAGTACTCAGGGAAGGTGGCCATCCTGTACGACCGGGTGCTGAGGCACCGGACGATAGTACGGGACAAGAGCGACACGCTGTGGAACATCAACCTGAAGCCGTTCCGAAGGAACAGCAAGAAGTTCTTCAACCCCGAGATCACGAAGGTGGGAGTGACCATCGAGGGCATGCCCAACCAGCTGTTCAGCGTTGGTATGACGGCATACCAGCAGTGGGATGAGATAACGAAGCTACCGAGCCAGCACCCACACGTCATCAAGGACCTGGATCTATACTCTGTGCAGATCGGGGAATACCTGACCACCAAGTACGGGCTTTGGTTGGACATGCGATCCACGGACGACGATCGGTTGCACAGCAGCAGACGCCGCATCGACAATGGCAGCGAGGGGATAACCATCCAGATCACCAAGAAGGCTCAACCCGCGTGATTATGGATGTGCAGCTTAATATAGACAATGGGAGATTCATGCAAGCCATCTATTGATCTACCCCGTGACCCACACTGCGCGCCATAGTATACGGGCAGACGGGCTGTTGGAAGACCGTTTTCGTGCTGGATATGCTGGAGGGATACTACTGTGATACCTTCGACAACATCGTTATCATGTGCCCTACTCTGTATATGAACAGGATGTACACGGTAAGACCTTGGGTGATGACGGACCGGACGTGCACAGAGTCGACCCGGGAACGCGCCCTGCAGGCTTGGCTTAAGGCTAACCATAAGAAATTCAAGGGGAGTCGACGCTGTTCATCCTGGACGATTACAGTGCTAACAAGGAGATAACGAAGAGGAGAGACATGCTATCATACCTAGCCTTCTCCGACCGCACGCATAAAGCACAGCGTCTGGGTGCTGACGCAGAAGTTCAACTCGGTACTGAAAGACCTCAGGGAACAGACGCGATGGGTAGCTTTATTCCACTGCAAGGACAGGGATTCTTTCGAGGAGTGCTTGAGGGAAAACGATGTGTTGAACAAACTAGAACGGGAACGGGTGAAGAGACAGCTAGCCGAGACGAAGCATGCTAAGCTTGCGCTCAAGACCGACCAACCTGTGGCTTACCAAGTGCTAGGCATTGCCAAGCAAATGCTTAGCAATTAAAGGTTACAGTTCTATATATGAGCTTGTGAAGTGCTCATCGTGTGCAACCTAACCTTCATCTCACTGTGTTTCGCGTGCATCGGCTATTATATCATTAAAGTTAAAAATCGCTTGTTACATTATAGGATGGAGTGCAACGACCTGTTCGAACAACTGTTGGTGCTGGAGCGAGAGGGGGATGATGACAAGCGGGAGAAGCTGGTAGCGCTTACGGTCGGCGGCAAAGCCAAACAATACTTTGGGGACTACACTTCCAATAACATTCAGAAACTACCCGCCTATGAGGTCGATAAGCTGTACGCGAGATACGAAACCCGGCTCGTGGGCGAGATGATGAAGACTATAGTGTCGACCATGACGCAGATCTACACCAGTTGAATGCTGGCTTTACCTGTGGGAGGACCTCGAGAAGGACCTGTTCATCGAACACGCTTTGAGCGCCGTCAGCTGCATGCTGTACCAAAAATGCGGCATGTTCTTAGCCCTGTGACGGCGGCGATCATGACCGCAAAGCATTGTCAATTTTAAGAGGGGAACAATAATAGTAATAGTGTACAAAATGGATGCTGCCCAGACAACCCCGTTGCCCGAGGAGATACCGACACAGGAGGAAACCCCGACCCCGACACAATTCACTAAGCAGAAGAAGCGGGCGGCTTAAGTCAACGTCCTGGCATTTTCCGGGAGCAGTTACCTGTTCTTGAAGCTACGGGGGTCGAACGCGGCCGAGGTAGAAGCGGAACAAAAATGCACGACATAGCCGTGGAGCAACTGCAAGCCGCGCAAGTTGAGTTCGCGAAGAAACGTATGCAGATATTCGGTTACATTAATGAACAACTCGAGCGTGAGAACCATGACGCAAAAGAATACTACCTGCTGATCGGTAAACAGTTTGAACCACACGATGAGCCCACACTCTCCCAGAACTACGCACCATCCCCGGAACAAAAGGACCGAGAACTGGCCTTCGTCGTGATAGGCCTAGCAGCGACTATATTGATCGCAAAGCAATTAAACTAGGTCCCCATATGAGTAT